CACACTCCCAGTCCCAGTCCTAGTCTCAGTCACAGTTACAGTTACATTCGCAATCACAATCACAATCACATTCACATTCACAATCACATTCACATTCACATTCACATTCACAATCATTATCACAACCACAATCACATTTGCAATGTCAATTACAATGACAATGACAGTTACAGTCATCGTCGTGTCTGCCCCTTCTGATTGGCCGGATCTTCCTACCTGGCAAGGGTGTCTGTGGGCGTGCAAATCGTCGTCATGTGACAAGTGGAAAGGTGGAGTCGCCTTATCGAGACGCAACAACCTGACTCGGGCGGGCCTCCCCTTCGCGGCCTGGACAAAGCAGCGAGGCGGGAGCCAGCCGACACAAGACCGGCCTGACGGGGACAGAGCACGACAGGGCACGACAGGCGACCGGGACGACGATGACTAAGTGGGCCTGGCGCGACAACTCATTACGTGCGTCATGCGCTCGTCAGTCCCGCCCCAAGTGGCTCAAAAACGCCAATCAGGCAATAGTGCCATTGATCTCGACGCAACCGCGACTCGCATCTGAACCTGTGGCTTTGATTGTGTATGTACAACGGGTGTGAGTGTGTGTTCCGGAGGGTGCACTAGTGTGTCTGTGCGTGTGCGTGTGCAATTAAGTAGTTTGTTGAGTGGCCTATTCGGCAGGAGCGCTGCCGTGGCTGCAGTCGTCGCGATAATCTCCTTCGGCCATTCGGGCCATCTTTACAACCGCACATTTTAGCGTTTTGACAGTTGTGGAGTGTTGATATCGCATGTGTGTGTGTGTGTGTGTCTGTATGTGTATGTGTATGAGCCAGGCAACGGTTGAGCACGTCGTCGTGTGAATAGATCGACTTGTACGCACCTCTGCGAAATCACACCCCGATTCAACAGTCAGCTGGGCGCAACTTGTTCCGTTCGTGAACCTTCGAGAAGGATCGAGTAGGATCGAGAAGAATAGGAAAAGGATGTGTTCGAACAGAAAGTGGCTTGCCTGCGTTGCTAGGGCTGTCTCAAGGATTGCCAATTGGCTTTGGTCCCGAGAAGCTCGCTGTGCACGTCAGTTTGTCTCGTCGCGCAACTATACAACCACACAACCACACAACCACACAACCACACAACCACACAAC